TCTGTTTGACCCTTTCTTCCTTTCTTTTGCTGACATTTTACAAATTTTGGCAGTCTCAACAACCAATGACCTTGCAAGAGGAGGACGCCGTCTGGGCTAGCCTATATTCTTCTTCCGAGCATGTGGTCGAATCTGCAAAGGAGATAACCGATAAACTGGGGCAACTAACTTCTCAAGAGGAGGATCAGGGACTTGTCGAAGAAGAAAGGACCACAGAGGCTCTGACGGAGGACGTAGAAAAGAAGTATCGAAGTAAAAGCTTACAATGCGAGCGGTTCGCTAATTTACGAGACGACTCAGAGATTGGGCATCCAGCGTCAGGTCTTGTTCCTTCTGCTTTCATCCATTCTGTTGATGGCGAAAAAATGATTCCGACATCTTCGTCTCAATTCGTCCAGACTAGAGCCAACTCGTTAGGATCCGTGAATACGACCGACTGCGGGCTAATGGAGACTGGGGATGGCCAACTGATAGGAATAGCCCACAATCCAACTAAACAGTCGCAGAATAGTGGACACGATAAGGTATGAGGGCTGGATAAAATTTTGTAAATTTTTGGACACTAGATAGCCTTATCATAGAAAAATCCATTGCTTTCTGAGGCTTCGACTAAATAGTGGGTTGGAGGGGGTGCAGGTATGTATGAGTCGTCAGACACTTTTTGACAGAATTTTGGCTTACCAAAAGTGTAAAAAATTTTTGTATATCCTTATCCTATTCATAATTGCATCGGGAAATATGCCTTGAGGGGATAGACAAATGGCTTTTTGCTTGAATGCACTCAAAGTTTGATAGTTTGATTCATACGGAAAATTCAAGTAGCAAAATGGAATGAGTGAAAGTGACATTTGAACATCAGAATAAGGCAAGATTATGGTTCTCAATAAATTATGATTATCAAGATACTCTGGATAAATTAGTAAACACTAAACTACTTCAAATGCTCAGCATACCTTCCCCTTAAACTAAGTTTATATTATATGAGATGTATCCACTCTATTTCCTTTAAAATGATGAGGGACTGGTAGTCGAATTTTCGGAAAATAAGTAATGTAGTCGAAGGTAAATATAAGTTTGCTTCAAAGATAACCCCAAAAAAGAATGTGATATGGGAAAATACCTGGCCTTCCTTGAAATTCACATCTGCCCTGTAACCAAATTACATTAGTGGTAAGTTCGCATACTGATCAATGTGTTGAGAGTAGCATTGCACTGTCATGGTTCGAGTCCCGCTGGGGTGGTAATAAGGCCTAGGCGAAGTGGAAACTGAAGCCCAACCTGGATGAGATAATTTTTTGGGCAAGCAAGGCTATGTTAAATTCAATGGAAGCGTCAGCTTTACTTATATCATTGTGGGAAAATTCAACTAGCAGTCCTTCATCAGCCTTAACGAAATAGGGTGAATACATCTCATATAACTGAACTACTGGTAGTCTCGAAACTCTATTTATAAACGAAAAAGTCGTTTATTTTACTTCATGTTATGCTTTACATTGTCAGACCGTTGAGAATCACTACCGAGAATGATCCATGTTCTTTCGTTAAAAGTAGATTTGGCTTAATTTACGTAATTTTGAATGCTTCACAAGTTTCAATAAGCAAGAATGGCGAATTGACAGATAGTCTATTATCCATCTTAACCCTGTTATTTATCTGAATTGTTGCTGAATCATGTAAATAGGAATTTTTTATTAATTTATTCTAGATGTTCATTTAGTAAATGATCACAAAATAATTCACAACTTTTAGCTAGTGTGATTTCCTTGCAGATCACAAATAGAAAATGTCTTATAACATACCATTCTTTCTTCAATCCTTTGATCAAGAACCTTTTAATATTTAATGAATAATAATGGCAACGAAAAGCGGACAAATTTGCTAAAAGGGAAAGTTTTTTTCTTGTAATAATTCTAGGATGACTATTTTTTCTATCCTAGGCCAATGGGTTAAACTTACAGCAACTTAAAAACAGGAGAAAAAAAACAAAGTTAGGTTAGTCAATGACTTCAAACTGTAATGATGTATAAACCGGGATCGGCAATATCTAGTGTAGACGCTCAAATTGATAAAATTATGAGTTTATATTCAAGTGAAATGCTCACAAGAGGAGATCTAAGATTCCTCTATTTCTTCCCAATTGCCTGGGACAAGTCCGGTAGTTCAGGCTAGTTTTCAATATAATGAGATGCATTCACCATATTTCGTGTAAGGTGATGAAGGACTGGTAGTAGAATTTTCCCACAATGATA